ACTCTATAACAAACCTTTCATTGTGTTTATTTGTACCCATTTTACTATAATTGTGAGGTCTTTAAACAGCCAAACTGCAGACATGCTGTCCTAGTTCTTACTTAATAAACTGTTAGGGTTTCCATGTCACCTGTATGGGCCGGGCCAGTCCGTATACAGATGAGGAGATCCATGCTTCCCGCTTCAGTTTGGTCCAAGTAGGCCGACTGCAGTCCTGTTCAAACATGCAGCACTCCACCACCGTCTGAGAGGATTAAAACTGGACTTTACATTTCACTCCAAACTCTCAGGATACAGAGGACGTCTCAGGGTCTCACCATCATGGTGTTGTGGTTCAGGTTCCAGGTCTTAACGATCAGGGTGTTGGCTTCCGGGTCCACGATGGAGTCCTCCAGGACGTAGACGGCCCGGGCCGAGTGGGCGGGGAAGATGCACTCTGCCCATCCAGGCAGCCGATTGGTTTTTGTAAGCAGTCTCCGCGACAACAAGTGGTTTCCAGGGGTGACCTCTCGGTAGAGGACATCCTCGGTGAGGACATGAGTGCTGCCACAAAACCACACGACCTTTAACCTCGTACGGTATGACCTTATGTACAGTTAAATTAAAAAATATGCTTCCTTTTTGTGTATCAAGTAAATTTATGTTTTCACTATAGAACAAAAGAAAAATATGGTTAATTATTCAATGCAGCTTAATTAGAGTTAATGCTTTCCACTAGGTGGCAGCAAAGGGTCTCCAGTATGATTCTTGTAGTGATAAATCTCAAAAAGCAGGTGATATACACCTATATACTTAACAAATACCTCTGCATACCTTTCCTACATGCATTCTAACCGGTGTGCAGCCTGTCCCAGTTAACACACGCACAGGGAAAGTATTATAAATACCAACATGCGTCCCTAAAAACCATGGTAACAGCATTGAATAGGGCAGAAAGGACAATCAGTGATTGTGAAATACAGGAGTCAGTGTCTGAGGTGGAGGGAGGAGGTAATCTAATCAGGCATTCATTTATTGGGTATGAGTAACAACATTTAGAAAACAGTGGCTGAAGGTGGTAAATGTGGTTAACGCAGCTGGAGATGAGTTCAGATCCTTGGGCGAAAACTAAACGAGCAAAACAATAACAAATGGCACCTTCTAATGAAACAGAACAGACAGACTGAGGGATTCAAGGTGACATTTATTAGCAGATCAGTGGGAAAAGGGATGAGAGGATCAGAGGTTCGGTTATACTGCCTGCTCAGTCACATTGTAGATGGAATGTCTATATCTATTTTCTATGTTCCATTGGTCCAGAATAGCCCATGGATTTAGGTAAGTTACTCCACCTGTCAGCCAGCTCCCTCTATAATGCTTTGGCTGCAATGAACCCCAGCATGTTAAAAACTTAACCTGGTACCTGCGATGCATGCTTCCTTCTGGTTTCCCTTTGTGATACCAGGGCTAGTGGCATGCAGAGCTCCGGAGCCACATGTGGCTCTGTGGACCAGGGTTGTATTTGGCAGCCATCTTAGATTTAGTCATAGGCCGTTTCTCAATTCACAAGAACGCCAGTACAGACCAGAGCAAATGGCGGAGCGAGGATTTCACTTTTTTTCAACTTGTTTTTTTTTTATTGGAGAAAGATGCAGGCCAAAAGTTTTTA